TTGTAACGGGGTAGTTTTTTTTTGTGCACGCGAACGTGCGATTGTGTTCGTGAGTGTGAACGCTGAGCCTTAAAGTCTCGTGTCAGCCCGTGTGGAGATGCTGCTGCGTGTGCGCGCGCGTGTGTGTGTGTATGCAACGGCATGTTGGTGATCGTGGCTCAGATTTGTCAAAGTCTAGTCCTGTGGGCCGTGAACGGACAGTCGGTACCGTCAACTTCTCAGGCAGACAGACAGAGGGACAGACAGAGAGACAGACAGAGGGACAGACAGAGACAGACGTTGGTTTTGAGGTTGAGGTTGAGATCTGCGCGCGTTTGATTGACAGCGCGGTGTCAAAAGACTGGAACGCGCACTCACTGTCCCGTCTCAAAGCCACCAGGTCCGTGTCCCCGTCCGTGTGTCCGTGTCCCCGTGTGTCTGTAGACGGTGTTGCATCAACAACCTCCATCTTTTCGACATATTCCACCATACCCCAAAATGTCCACATGTCCCGTCGGTCATGTCTCGGTTCGGGGCTTTTCCAGCGCACTTTTTTATTGTCCTGCCCAGCCCACACCTGTGCACCCCACACGAGTGTGTCTCTGCTGCAGTACAGCCCATTGTGTACGTTCGTAAACCAAGCTCTATATTTAAATGTCAGTCTCTGAATTTTTTTTCTCTTTTGAAACCCTGGTTTTTTGTTGTTGTTGTTGAAAAGGCAGCAGTTGTGTGCGTGTGATTTGAAACCCACGTGAGAGGAAACACAGAGCTGTGTCCGGGACTGATCCTGACACACACGCCCGAAGTCGGTGCTCAGACTTTCAGCTGCACATGTCGGTGTGTGCGCGCGCGCGCGCGCGCGGATCCACAGTGTGACACTATGACACCGAGGTTGCCGGTTTTAAACCCCGGCCCGTGCACGCTCATCATTGTTCTGTTGGTCCTGCGTGACGAACACGGAGGCAACCACCATTTTAAATTAGCGTCCTGGGGGGGGGGGGGAAACCCCCCCCCCCCCCCCCCCCCCCCCCCCCCCCCCCCCCCCCTCGGGGACCAGGTGA